GGTTTTTGCTATAGGGTGCGTGTGCTCGCCAGACAGACAGAGAGAGACAGAGAGACAGAAAGCGAGAAATCACCCCCCAGGGGGGATGGTCACGCTGCAATCCCTTCCCCTCCATTCTCCTCTTGGGATCTTGGGCACGCACACACATGTACCCGGTGTGAGTTTTAAGCCACCGGGTCCGGGATGCGAACCGCAGTCGACTACGTGGGAGTCCAGTGACATAGCCATTACTCTAACTGCTGGTCCCAATTTTCTTTTTTTGGTAGAGATTTTTGCTGTAAGGCACATGCGCTCTTCAGAGAGACAGAGGGAGACAGAGACAGAAAGTGAGAAATCACCTCCCAGGAGGGATGGCCACACCAAAATCTCATCTCCTCCATTTTCCTTTCAGGATTTTGGGTAAGTGTGCACATGTGCACATGTGCCTGGCATGAGTTTTAAGCCACCAGGTCCAGGAATCAAACCATGGTTGACTACGTGGGAGTCCAGTGACATAACCATTAAGCCATTTACTGGTCTCCTCTATTAATTAAAAAAAATTAATTTTATTTACCTTTATTTATTGACTGATTGATTTATTGAGATCTGATTTTATTTATTTCTTTCTCATAAAAATCTTATTTTTGACTGGATTCAGACTTAGAAGTGGTAGCTCTCAGAGAGGACAGCCTGCGTCTCTTCGCAATCTGTTCTTGGCGTTTTTCTTTAGCCTCCTTCATTCTCTTGGCCAAAAGTTTAGCATATTCTGCTGCCTCTTCCTTATTTTTCTTAGTGCATTGTTTCTTGAGAGCAATACGCCGGCGTCTGTGTTGCAAGACACGTGGAGTCACAAGACGCTGAATCTTAGGTGTTTTGGTCCTGGGTTTCTTGCAACATATTGGTGGACATCGTCTTCTTTAGAGAGATTGAAAAGTTTTCGGTTTCTGCTAGCTCTCTTAAGCCCCAGGCGGCAAGGCACGGTAGTATTAGTCAGTCCTGGAATATCCTTCTCTCCTTTTTTAACAATAGCCAAGTTGAGAATGCTCAGATTGGCATCCACAATGCAACCCCGAACAGATTTGCGCTTTCTTTCTCCAGTTCTCCTTGGTCTGTGATAGGAATGTCCCTTTACTCATTTGTTAACTTGGGGAGCAGAGCTTTTCAGAGCACAGTGGGAAGAGGTGGAAGTGGGAAGAAATGGGATGAGATGAGAGAGACGTGCCAAGCCCAAATCACAGAGCACTTGACACGCTGGGTCCATATGTCAAATTTAATTCTCAGAGCAATGGGCAGTTTGGGGAGAATTTTACTAATTTACCCTTTTAAAAGTAACATTGTGATCACCTTTATTTATTCTTTATTTTTATTGCCAGAGAGCCTGTGTGCTTGCTGGGGATGGAAAGAGAGAGAAAGACAGAGAGAACAAAACTCTCCAATGGGGTGGGTTACACCTGTAATCCCTTCTCCTCCATTTCTTCATCCTGTGGTTTTTCTGGGGCAGGCACATGAACCCAGCATGTTTTTCAAACTGCTAGGGTGGGACTTGTATCATGGTTAGCTATGTGGGGTCAGACTCCCTATGCATAGTGCTGTTAACTGCTGTGCTACGAGGCTGGCCTAATCTATTCCTTTTTCTTTTTCTTTTTTTAAATTTGGTAGCAAGAGTGTGTGCTCACTGGACAGATAGAGAGAGAGAGAGAGGGAGAGAGAGAGAGAGAGAGAGGAAGTACCCTCCTGCCAAGAGAAATGGTCACATTACAACCCCTTCTCCTCCATGTTTCCTTTTAGGGTTTTGGGCATGCATGCACACATTCCCATCCTGTCTTTCAAGCCTCTGGGCCCAGGATTTGAACTGCCCAGTTGGCCATGTGAGATCCAGCGACCTGAACCACCATGCCACCAGCTGGCTCTAGTTTACCTTTGTAAAAGCCCTTCTGACTGCTGTGAGGAAAAGAGAGGTGAGGTTTGAGTGGGAAGCCACAACAGTTCCACCCAGGAAGCACCATGGGTAACCCTCCTGAGTAAAGGTGGGAACTGGCTTGGGGAAATTGGCCAACTTTCATAAACCAGGACTCCTGAGCATGCCTAGGAGGGAGGGCCAGGAGGGGTGCTACAACCCCTGGCCATGGATGTTCAGCTGGTGGGGGCAACAGCTCCGGGGGATCAGGCCTGGGGTCCCACAACCACAGCCTGAGGGTGCTTCTTCCTAAACCACACCCCTGTAGGCATCTTTAGCAGGAGACTTGATAATAAAGTTGTTTTTTTTTTTTTTTTAAAGTTTTTGCTATAAGGTACATGTACTAGCAGATGAGAGATAGAAGGAGAGAGCAGGAAAGTGAGAACTCACCCCTCAGGGGGGATGCCACACCACAATCCCTTCTCCTCCATACTTCTCTTGGGATTTTGGGCATGTACACACACATGCCTGGCTTGTTTTTTAGGCTGACATGTCTAGGACTTTAACCGTAGAGTCGGCCAGGTAGGATCCAGCTGCCTCAACCACCACACCATCCGGGTGGCCCTGTATGTATTGATTTTTCTGTACCATTCATGCCACTGAACCACTGAACTGCCCTTTGCCCATGACAACCTGTCAGGAGGCTGTCCTGGGTGCTGGGATCTGCCCGGCCCTAGATTCAATTTCGGCTCCGAAACTCTCTTGGATGCTTCTGGGCAAATGACTTAACCTCCCAGGGCCTCAGTTTGCTTCTCGGCAAGATGAGGTAACAGCATTCCTTCCTGCTAGATAGGTGATAACTGTAAAGCGCTCGGCACAGCCCAGATGGGCAAGGGGAGCTGCCGTGCTTGTGTTACTTCCTCCTCCCTTCTAGCCGGCTGGCCTGCAAGGCTTCTCTGACCCTTCCCTGTTGGCCTCCATCCAGGACTTGGTGGGTGAATCTCCGCCCTAACTGCGGCTCCCCTTTTGTGCTGTTCAGTTGTATTTTCCTAGACAGGCAAGCTGCCAGCTTGCTTGCACAGCTGTCTACACTCACTGCAGCCTTTGGTGTGGTCAGGTCCCTGGATAGCCACGAGGTGCCCTTAGCCCATTTCGCAAGCTGCTTACCCTTCTGACCACTTTCTCCCAAGGTCAGAGGCCAGCAAACAGTCCTCAGAGGCAGAACTTCCCAACTTGTGGGCTGTCTGCTAGGGTAAGTGGCCCAGACTGACTGAGGCTGGCAGTGGCCACCCCAACTGGGCCCTGGTACTTGCTGTGGCACCGAGAACCCAATCCAGGCACACTAGTGGGCAGTGCTTTCTAAGGGGCACCCAGTGGCCTGGCCACGTGGGGAACAGGTAGCTATACTGCCTTTCCTCTGGCGGCCACCTCGCTGAGCTTGCCAAGTTCTCTTGCAGAGTTCTCTCCTCACAAGGTCCTGCCAGGACCCATTGTTCTAACTGTCTTGTTCTTAGAGAGGAGTAATCTCCAGATTAGTGTTCCAGGAATACTATTCTCCTGGGAAGCACCAGGGCTCTGTCTCGGTGTGGCTGTAGATCTCTAACCCAAGCCATGTACATTCCCTTAAGGAACAAAAGGCCTGCAGCACCCCCGGACCTCCACGTGGATATAAGTCATCTTCGTGCTGACAGGTATCTATGCCTTCCCAGAGCTCCTAAACCAACTCCAATCCAAAGTGAATAGGAAACACAGGATTCAAAGGTCACAACCATATCGGAAAACATACACAAGGCAGTTCTGCTCCTCCCTTTGCCCTTACTATGGAGTCCCCCCACACTCAAGTGTCATTTGTTTATTTATGAGAGAGTACAAGAGACAGGGTCTCATTGAGACCCTCCAGTCCCCCAGCCTCTCTCCTAGCTACAACCATGGGTGCATGTCACTATGCTTGGCCTGTTTGAGTTGAGCTGGGAATTGAACCTGGGCTTTTCATTTGGCTTTAGCCACCGGGTAGAAGCATCTTAGCGGTGCCTACCACTGTGATTAAGCCCAGGGTACCATTATTATTGGATGTGAGATATTATTCTAGTTTCTTTTGCCAAATACACACACACACACACACACACACACACACACACACACCTCTCTCCTCTCTATTCTTTTTTTAAAAGAATTAATTAATTAATTGGAGAGTTTTTTGCTATAGGGCATGTGCACTCGCCAGAAAGACAGAGAGAGACAGAGATACAGAAAGTGAGAAATCACCCTCCACGGGGAATGGCCATGTCGCAATCCCTTCTCCTCCATTTTCCTCTTGGGATCTTGGGCACGCATGCACATGTACCTGGCGTGAGTTTAAGTCACAGGGTTTGGGACTTGAACTGCGGTCGACTACATGGGAGTCCAGCGACATAGCCATTACATCAACTGCTGGTCTCCCATTCATTTATTTTTTAATTTGACCAGAGAGAGACAGAAAGAGAGAGATAGAGAGATGGAAAGTGAGAAAGCAAGCCACCAGGTCCAGGACTCGAACTGTGGTTGGCCATATAGGAGTGTCCAGCACCTTAACCACCAAGCCATCCTCTTCTCTCTATTCTTAACACACTTATCTGTCTTCTATTTTTATGTTCCTCTATCTATCAAAAGGTGGCATACTACGATTAATTTTTTTTTTTTTTTTTTTTTTTGCTAGAGGCCGCAGGCACTTGCTGGAAAAAGGCAAAGAGAAAGGGAAAGTGAGAAAGCACCCCTATGGGGGATGGTCACACTGACAGCTTCTCCTCCATTTCTCCTTTCAGGATTTTGGGCACACATTCACATGTACCTGGCCTGTTTTACAAGCCACTGGGTCTGAGACTAGGACCACTAAGTTAGCCATGAGAGATCCAGCCATCTTAACCACTTACGCTACTGGCAGGCCACAATAGTTTTTTTTTTTTTTTCATTTAGCAATGCATCTACATCAGATAAATGTACATCCTAAACATAAACAATACTATAAACCCAAGAATATTCAAAGTAACAGTATCATTTTAATGGCAGGACTGAAGTCTGGCTGAAACAAACCCCCTGGCAGATGCTGACCAGCCATAGCAGACCTCCCGTGGAGTCTGACATGTCTCTAGATGCTGCCACAGGCTGCGGAATGACTCAGTCCCCCCACTTTTCTCTACCTGAATGACTGCAATACGTCTGTTTGCACAGTAGGCTGTTACATCATCTGGCCTTCGCTTGGCTTCAACGCGTCATTTACGCATTAAATCCACCTCTGTTCTTTTCTTGTTAGCCAGCAGCAATTAAAAAGGACTGCCTGATGCCAACACAATCATTGACACAAATGCAGAGTTGGGCAGTGAAATCCTGGGTCAACAATAAACTCTAAGGTGGTCATGCTGACAGTCATGTAACGAAAATAATCGGAGTGGTTAACTTGCTGTGCGCGGGCACCATGCTAAGTGTGTTACGTGTGGGGTCTTATTTAACACTCCAACAATCCTAGAAAGTAAGTGCTACCCATTTTACAGATAAGAACATTGTCGGGCCAGCCTGCAGCTTGGTGGATAGTGTGGTTGGATCATACATGGCCAACTGCATGGACTGGACCCGGCAGCTCAAAACACATGCCAGAGGGCTGGCAGGTGGTGTGGTGCTGGACTCCCACATGGCCAATTGCAGTTTGAATCCTGGACCTGGCAGCTTGTTTTCTTACTTTCCCTCTTCCTCTCCTCTGTTCCTCTCTGGTCAAATTGAAAATAAATAAATAATAAGTAAAGTTTAAAAACAAATAAACAAACAAAAAAAACATGCCAGATCCTTGCCCACAATCCTCAAAGGAGGGTAAAATGGAGGAGAAGGGGTTGTGGCATGACCATCCCTCATGGGGTGATGTGTTCTCTCACTGTCCCTTTCTGTCTCTGTCTCTCTCTCTCTCTCCTGTGAGCACACATGCTCTCTAGCAGAATTAGAAGAAAAAAAGAAAGAAAATTGAGTCTTAGAGGGATTAAATAACTTGTTCAAGGTCACATGTACAGTAAGTGGTAGAGTCAGAATCCTTTTTAGAGAGAGATTTTTGCTACAGGGTGTGTGTGCTCGCCAGAGACAGACAGAGAGACAGAAAGTGAGAAATCACCCCACAGCGGGGATGGCCACACCACTATCCCTTCTCCTCCATTCTCCTTTTGGAATCTTGGGCACATACGCACACAAGCCCGGTATGAGTTTTAATCTACCAGGTCTAGGACTTGAATTGTAGTCAGCTGCAAGGGAGTCCAGTGACATAACCATTATGCCATCTGCTAGTCCCAGTAGAGTCAGAATTTCAACCATATCTGTCTAACCCCAGGGACTACTAAGAGTTGGTGGCAGGGGCAGGAATTAGTCCACTTTAGCCAGGCCCTGTTGGGCTGGGTTACACAGAATATAGGGAGTCTGGGCCAGAGGGTGGAAGGGGAGTCTGGTGGTCACAGTCCCTGCTGGGGCCTGGACTTTTGAGGGACCCTGTTCCTGGAGTCCTAGGTTAAAGCACAACCAGCCTGGCCATGTGACCCTGATTCCTCTGGCCCAATATCAAGGTAAATAAACACGCACACGCCAAAAATACCATTCAGACGATAACGATCTATGTCCGTGACTGTAACAATGACACGCTGTCAGGTCCTGGCAAAGGACAAAGGGCTCAAGGTGCTCCTTTGGAGTCCCTGGCTTGCTATGCTGGGCTGGGGCTGGCTAGCACTCAAGATGAAAGCGCAGACTTTGTGGACACTATCTCCCTGTGGCCTTCCGTCCCCCTTCCTGCCTGGCCTCACCTTCCACCTACTCTCCTGTCACTGTCTGTCTATCTAGTACCTGTCCTGGGCCTGTCATTATTCCCTATTGGGGCCTGAACCCACACCTTCAAGTCCAGGAAGTGGCCAGGCCTTGGCCTGAGCTCAGTCGTATCAGGCTGAGGGGCAGGTCTGAACTTCCGAGGCTTGCTGGTTGGCAGACATATCAACGGTACCTGTCTGGAGATAGTGACCCAGTGGTGTCCTGCTGGGAGTTGATGCCACCTTCTAAACAGCAGCCCAGGGTGGTGGTTTGGCCCTTGAGGATCAAGATGCCCAGGACCAGCGAGGCTGCTGGACTGACTCATACATTTATATAACAAATACCCAGCCCTTCTCCAATGCCCAGTTCTCATATTGCCTGCCCAAACCCTCTCTAGTCAACAGTCCCATTTGAGGCACACACACATGCCTGAGGGGGCAGCCAGGGATGGCACCAGTCTGTCCCTCTCCCTCAGATCCAGACCTGAGAACACTAACCTCAGCCCTCTCCCTACATTCCCTAGGGAGCCTAGCCCTTTCTGAAAGGAACTTGCCCAACATAGTGATTTGGTTTCTGTTTCTCTAGATCAATACAACTGAGTAAAGACTAAGTTGCCCTGTCCTGTGGCTCCAGGTGACGCAGCAGGTACTATTAGGGCTCTGGATATGTGGGCTTATCGTGCAGATCACCATGGTTGGATCAGGATGCCCACTCTTTTTTAAAAAAATTATTTATTTAATTTTATTATTCATTTATTTATTTTAATTTGACCAGAGAGAGAGAGAGAGAGAGAGAGAGAGAGAGAGAAGAGAAAGTGAGGAAGCAAGCCACCAGGTCCAGGACTCAAACCATGGTAGGCCATGTGGGAGTGTCCGGCACCATAACTACCATGCCACTTGCTGGTCCCAGGTATGCCCAATCTTCTCCTCTGGGTTTGAGCTTCTACCAGAATCCAATCCTTTTCTATCCACAAAATTTATTAGGTTGTTGACATTTATCTGTTTTTTTAATGCAAACAATGTGCTATGACTTTTCTGACGACCCAATAGTTTCTTGCACTATAAAAGATCTACCTATGTAAGAACCATCGACCTGGGTCTTCCTCACTTCATTTCCCGTGTTCCACCACCTGGCTCATTCTGCTCCAGTCACACTGGCTTCCCTGTTGGGTCCCTATCCTTTCGACTATATGCTGACCACAGGACCTTTGCACCAATGGCACCTCTGCCAGGACCGCTCTT